TATATTTAAAGGAAATAATTGAATTGCATCGAATATGAAAATTATACTCGAGTACATTGCCGAGCATATTTTTCTCAAAAATTGAATTATTAATTAAGTTCAATAAATAAGAGGATATCTCCCACCTGGGACAAACCTAAATGCACACTAGCTGTCTCGCTTATGTACATAATTTTCCCATCCGGTGCCACGACAAAGATAAAGCCATCTAGTGTCTGTAATCAGAAATAGATCGTTATCACTGTGTTAATTCACGACTTGTGCGCGAATTCAATAAGTAATTTCGTTTTTTAAGCGTTTTAAATTTTCTAATTTTCCGCAAACACAAAATTGTATTCCAAGCTTATGTCACAAATTATAAATATAAATATGATTACTCACTTGTAAAAGATACGAGCCCAGTTCCTTGATGGTGGTCTCCAGGGGATTGTTGGGTGGTGGCGCGGCACCCCATTCATCTCCAAGTCCTGGAAAATTGATATCAATTTTCTGCTTTTAATATCGAACACGAATAAAAATGTACATCATATCGATTATTATACGTCACATTAATTGTAGCATGTAATTTAATAGAAGAATTTTCTCGAGTTTTCACATAAGATTTTATTAAGAGGAATAAGCCTTGTGAATTGTCTTTTTATCAATAGAATTCGATTCTATCATTCGCATCATTTCATTTTCAAAGTATTTTTTGAGACACATTATAGAAAAACACAAATTAGTAGAACATTTTGTAGAATTATCAAAACGTGCAAAAATGCATAAGAAGAAGTCTAATTTGACGACAAATTATTTTCCAAAATATCAATTTTTGCTAACATGAGCGATTTTCAGGAACCATTTATACTATGTGCCTGTCTACTCAAATGCGACACTTTAGATATTGTATTTTGGAGCAGCGTTTTCTTTGAATTTGATTATCAACTGACACGAAGAATCGACGACAAGATCAGGCTGTTTCAACACATGACACGTGTCAGATTTTACGATCTTTATTATTGTATCATCATACAACAGCGTACTTTTGATAGACAGCTCGATCTATCTCGAAGGAAAGAACCAGCCGTGATTCAAAAGTTCCTTTGCTATCGCCGCGTTGAATCAAGAATTCTAACATCGTTGGAATTTTTGATATAACGAGTGTGAAGGATAAGAGTGAGAAGTGTGAGAGAATATTAAAAAATGATTTCGTTGAGACTAGACGTTATTTTTAAGTGATTTCTCAGATCTGAGTTGATCTAGAAATTCCCATTATCGCGAAACGTTTGAAGGGATATCGATTAATATCGATTTACTTCCGACAATTGTTTTGGATTGTAGAAAGTTAATTTTGCGATGATAATCGACGGCGATCGGCCTCTCGAGAAATTTCACGCTCGCTTTTCGACAAAGCGAGTGAGGAGACGCTCTCAAAAGCGTCATCGTGAGGACGCCGTATCTCTTTTTCCCTGGGAATAAAGACGGGACGATCGTTCTAGAGGGATGCAGCCACTTGAAATTCAATTCGTCGATGTCGTAAGAGGGGGAATCGAACTCGAGGGAGGCCATTGTAACACTATAACGGCCCCCATGCTTTGCTTACAAAGCGCCGGGGACTAACAATGCATTAAGTGCGCAATCACATCCATCTCATCCGATACTATTTGCCCTTTGCGCGTAAGAGTCCGGTTGCTAAATTCACGAATTTACCACCAGCCCCTATAACAACAATAATAAAAATAAAAAAAAGTCGGATCGATTCATTGATTGTTAACGCTCATTTGAGTTACGCACTGAAGTTAGGGTATCTCTGGTTTTACATGATTTTAAATAAAGCGGCATTGCTTATAAACATAATCAATATTTTATTAAATTAAAAGCATTCGATTACTGACAAATACAAGAGATCAAATGGATAATTGTTGCATTTCTTACCGTGTGGAAAGACAGCTCTCATCTTCAAGTAACTGGTGGTCAGTCTGATGATACTGGCCTTATCCAGTTGCGTGGTGATAGCTGCCGGAAGTGGCAACAGCTTTGCCAATTCTAAAAATTCTTGATTTTCCTTAACGCGGCGCGATCGCGCCGCGTTCTTGCTTTTTTCTTTCATGACTATTTCTTGTAGACCACCAGACGCGGTGGAGCTACTGACACCGTTCGAATTGTCGTTGTTGTTGTAATGATGATGGTGCGAGCTCAGATCCAATGTGTCTGAAGAAGGACTGCTGTCTGCAAATAGCATAAAGAGAATTATTTTTATTAAACATATGTTTAAACATATGTTCACGTATATAAAAACTGTTTATCATTAGAACTTTATTATGATATATTATAATTCTTGTATAAGATAGATGAATAAACAATTTCTTTTATTTTACTCAAGAAACGTCTTCGTATCAATTTCATCTTTTAATTTAATTTTAATTTAATTTAATATTAATTAAATTATTTATCCTTATAGAGGTATAGAGATTTTCATTTATTGAGTACAAAGAAAAGGTAGGTATAGAGAGGTTAGATGGTTAGAGGTAGGTTAGATGGTTAGAATGTGCAAATTCATTTAAATTTAATAATCCGTTAAAATTACGTAAACATTTTGTTTTTATTTTTGAATTTTTTAAGGCTATATTGAAGTCATAGGGAATGCGTTGTCGATTAATATTTATATGGCTAAATAATGACAAAATCTGAATTAAGATTCGAATACTGCATGAAAAAAATGATGTGGCAATCATGTATAATTAAAAATATAATCATATTAATTTAATAATAATATTAATAAAAAAATTTGACTATACTTTTCATTAATACTATTTAAAGTAACAAGATTATTTTCCATTATACCGATAACATCATTCTTTTCTGTATGTAATGCGACTTTATAAAAAGTAATGTATGATTAGAAAGTTATACAAATTAATATGTAATTAAAAATTGAAGATTTATTTAATAAATCTCAGCAAAATGCTGATCTAAGAATTTAAAATAATGATAGTAAAATTGAAACATATTGATAAAAAAGATTAAAAAAAATAAATAATAAAAAATCTAAATATACGATATCAAAGTTTTAGTAAAAATTAAAAACATATCTCTATTGATCGGTATCTAATTTTCGTTTAAGAACGAAACAATAGATAGTATTTACATGAAAATAATATAGTGAATCATCTAGATTAACTTGATAAAAATGAGTTGTTATTTATATATATGGATAAAATTTAAAAAATTTTTCAGATATTAGAAGATTTAACTTCTTATGACTGAGAATTGAAAAAGAAATACTTTTTTTAAGAAAAAAAAATATATATATATATATATATTTAAAATTTCTCTAAAAAAATTAATAAAAAATTAAACACATAATTACATGTATAATTTTAATAAATACACCATAATTATAATCATAATTTTCCAAATAATATTCAGTATTAAACTTCTCTAATGTATAAGTCAAAATTAAAATCCCTTAATCAAAGCGAAGAAGGAAAAGTGTAAAATCTCCCTCGATATTATCGCACATGTGCAAATATGTCGTTCTTAAAGATAGAACTGAATATGTTCAAAACGGCATTAGGGGTTTGCGCGCGCGACCAATGGGATTTAGGCACGCGTGATCTAAGTGCGTGCATGCAAAATCGACGCAGCAATAACGCGACTCGCGAATTACACAAACGACAGCATAAAATAGTCGCACTATCTACGTGCCGGACTGAATTAACTTAGCTCTTCGCTCGCGGACTTCAGTCCGCTCATATAATTGCAATTCCCCGTCATCGTTAATGTCATCAGTAGAAATGCCAATGTAATATCCGTTATCCTGGCAGTCGATAATCGATTGGAAAGTCTGAATGTTCGCCCGTTTTATCTTCGTACAGAAGACGCTCCAGAACTTTCGCGCTTTCCCTTGTAATTCTAAAAGCGTTTCGTACTTGCCTATATATATTTGCCTTTACATCCGACTTTGTATATGTATTTCTATATATAAGTTATTGTTAAATATCATTGTTGGAAAATTTCGCTTTCTTATAGTATAAGACATACGCTTCTATATTGTAATTATTTATTATTCTTAGGATAATGTAAAAGGAAATAATATTTTACAGCCTCGTTACTGATATGTCAGACAATATTATAAAAATTTCATAGAACTTTTTACGCCTTATGCCCTGAATAACCGGAAAGGTCATTGGTCCTCGTAGAGATCGGAATTTTGCAGGCGCAATTATTTGTCTTGCAATATTGGCGGTCGTGACTTTATTTCGAAATCACGTTCGAAGCTTCCAAGCCGAATTACATTTTTCCCAGATGAAATAGAACCGTCTCTATGGACACATCGCATGTAATCCGTAAAATTGGGACTACGAATATTTTTTTTAATTTCCCACAATTTTATGGTTTACGTGACGAATTTCGAAAGTATAAATCGGCAAAAATTTACAATCGCAGTGAAGCTTCGATTCACTGCTAGACAATTCCATGAATCCTATTTGAAAAAAGAGTCTCAAGAAAAGAAGGAGATAAAATTTGCAGAAAGATCGCAGAAAAAAACAAGATATTATCAATCATGTATCAAACAAAATTGAAAATTATCAAATCATTCGATGTTAAATCGAAAAAAATTACATGATTTGCCGTATACTTAATGTATTACTGGACTAAAACTGTACAATATTTTCGGCACATACTTAAAACCCATGCGCATATACAAATCGCATATACAAAAATGTGAGAAAAACGGGTATTTACATTAAATTTCATGAAAACAGCTGTGTGTTTTAAATCGAAAGTGGGAGTGAATTCTTCAAGTGCTCTCTAAACACGCGCAGTCGATGGGAAAAGGGATTTTGACCGCGTCGTCGTTCGCGAGTGATACGGCGCAAATTCTGCGTAACGACGAAGCTCCTCGTTATAAGAAACGAAAGCAAAGGGAGCAAACCGTCATTAAATGCGCCAGCGAGAGAGCAACCTAACGATGTAGCTACCCGGACTTCTCACGAATGGAAATTCGTCTGAATAATGCATTTTTTTTTGTGCCGCTCCATCTCTGCATTCAATGATCATTCCGAGCTGCTCAACGCCTCTCAGTTTCTTTGGACAAATGTTTCATCGAGCAAGTAGAAAGATGCTCCGTCCGGCTATTTATTTAAAGAAGTCATTACTCTCTATTTTTCTCATTTATCATCTTCCTCTCTTCTTCTCTCTTTATATACAAAGTTTATAAAACAAAAATAAAAACTTAATAACTTGATGATTGCGTTTGATGAATTTTTTTCAATACAGATGAGAATTGACCTTTTTAAATAATATTCTTCAGTATAACGCAATTTTATCACCGCACCAATTTTAAATTTTGTAATTGTTATTATTCTCTATCTGCTCTGTGGAAACTATTTTATATAAAACTTACTTGATACAAGAGTTAATACGAGATGGAATTACGTGATAAATTTGACTTCACTTTCGATTAAATATCAGATAATAAACTATTTAATTTACGACATCCCGCCAACTGTTAAACAAATTGTTACTGTTAAAAAACAATAAACGAATGATTTTCCTTGGATATGTCAACAATGTCGTCACGTATCTTTTCTATTTCAAAATCCGTTTTCTGCAAGAGATCATAAATTTTTTCCACTGATTTTTAAAACACAGTCAGTTTTAATTTACTGATAATAACTGATTCATACGTTAGCTGTCAGATGATCAGGAAGACAAGGAAAATGTCCACTTCTAAATAGAAATTTACGTAATATTGAAACGAATTTGCGTGTGCATTGTTGTGCTACCTGGAAGTATTATTTCCGAAGTAATGTGCGTAATGCAATATGCGTTATCCTTTTTTCGCATTCGTAGAAATCGCGCGCGAACGTTCGTTGCGTTACCGGGAAAACTGCACAGCATCGGGAACAAGTCCAAGGAAAAGTGACTTAACACGTGCCGAGAATAAATTGCTTCCTCATTGGCTGCTTTTTGGTACTATGCACTTCGATATTATAGTCATAAGACATTTACAAAGCATCGTTTGCGGAAATTATAAATGGCGATTGGCTAGAGGTGCCATTTTATGCAACGCGCTAAATTCATGTATACGTTTCTACATATATTTATAAACAGTTACTCTCTCAATACTCACAGAATAATTAGAGAGCGAAAATTAATCATGATTAGATAAAATGTCATAAAATTATGTACGAAAGCTGACAAATTAACAAAATTTATTACATTATTATTAATAATGAGAAATTCTGTTTGAAATGTGAAATATTGATTAAACAATTTTCCACGTTTCGCGCAAAACAGATACAATGTAATAAAAAGAAAAATAAGATTATTATAATTATAAATATCCGAATATAATTGAATATTGGAATTGTCTAAAATAATTATCAAAAATTTCAATTTGATACAACAATCAAATAATTTCAATCTAATTAAAAATCTAACTTAAATTTATGAATTTAGAAAATTTTTTAATGTTACAAAGATAGAGTAAGATAAAAACATAATGTCTTAGAATTTATTATAATTTTAATAAAAAAGTAATTAAAACAAAATTAGTTTTATGCGTTTTATAAGTACACAACAAAAAATATATATTTAAAATATGCACATTAATATTCTTCGCATTATTAATAAAAACCATTCTTCTTAAAATATATTTAAAAAAAGTTTTTCTTGTATTACTTTTAAATATATCAGTCTTTTTTTAATCAAAATTTATGATTTTTCAACGAATATTTAAAATTTTTTTATACCAAAGATTACCGTTTTAAAATATGTATTTATTTCTATTACGTATGAGACTACATGATATACAGAAAAAATATATTTTTTTATATTTGTATTATTTCAATTTAAATTCAAATATTCATATATATTCATAGATTTAAGTGAATTTGTTTTTTCGAAACATGGAAACACATTCGAATGTTGATTTTACTCGAATTTTACTCGAATAATAATTAGAATTATTCGCATATTTCATTCGAATATCAGAAAATTTCGATTCATATTTATGATATCGTATCTATAATAAGTACCTTCCTGATTTTGCTGTTTCTCTCGGATTCTCCAGTTGTGAATATAAGGATCGCTCCTGGAAATAGCTGATCCGCGTCCGTAATTTTCCATCGGTGCCATACCGCACGCATTCTTCTATCGCGACTAGCTGAACTCTGACACCACCAGAGTAGATCGGAACACACAGTATTTTGCACGTGCCGTCAACGACGTTAAAACTATCTACTCATCAATTCCGAGCACGTATGTATTAAGAAACTGCTCTGACGACCGGTCATTATTGCGACTTCCACATCACCAGATTCCTAACAATGTGAATCGATCGTCGATCGACGTGCGTTTAATGATACAATAACTACTCCGTGCCCTTAATAATATCGATTTTCTCATCGGTTTTAAAATACAATTGCCGCTGATGTTAGCAGATCACTGTACAAATGTAAAAAGACTTGCGTATCCTCTCTTCTTCGTCTTCGCCACCTTCCGTTGAACTCTCGACTAGTGCGCATTCATTTCACAATAACTCTCTCTCTTACTGCCGAAGCAATGCTCTCCTCTCTGCTTCACCTCCGCTCCTTGCTCATCCTATCCAACGCTGTTTCCCGATGGGATAGGTAAGCGAGAGGCACCACCCTTATTTTAAGCTCCACCCTTGGTAGCAGGGTCAGCCGGAGGGTCTCCCTCGGCGCGGCGGTGTGCACGCACAATGTACCAACGTTCGCTCTCTCGACTTTCGAGAAAGCAAGCAAAAGGCCGAAGAATAAAAAATTTATGTGAGACACGGAATTTATATCGTCACACCTATCGTTTATATTTGAATATTATTTTCATGTTCGAAAAGACAGCGTAAAAGATTTCCAGTTTTTATTGCCTTGGTCCCCAAAAAATTCATGCATTCAATAAATAATTTTATAAATATTATATATTATAATTTTTATACTTTTGTACACATTTTACATATATAT